TTTCTTTTGAATCAATATTGGTTGCAAGGAAAGTTACTGGATTTGGGATCAACAGGTGGCAGCTTGTTACATCGTGTTTCATGTCTTCTAGGAGTAAAATATACAGAAGGCCTGCCAGTTCAATTCCAGAAACACAGGAAGATAAAACCTGAATCCAACTCAATGGAGTCCTACCTCAGCATGGCCTCCAGGGATTAGAGTCTTCCCGCAACGCTCACAACGTAGACAGGGACGGTGCCAATCCTTGCCCAATGAAGTCACCTTCTCAGCTACAATATACAAGAAAATGCATGTACTTCAACTTTTTTTATAGGTGTAAACCAATATGCTCGCCTTGGAGTCAATGCAGTTGTATGTTGTTAAAAATAAGAATTTTAACACATCATCCTTGTTTTCAATATTGATTTCAAGACTTTCAAAGCATATTACATCCTGAAGTGAATATAGTTTTAGTTATAATTTAAAACTCAACAATAGGGGATTCAGTTGTATCTCTGCAGTGCAGAAGATCAATAATTAGGAAGCTGCCACCAAGAATATTCAGCTTTGAAAGGGAGCCTAAAATAGTGTGAGGATGCTTGGTGTAAAACTGGGCTTTGGTTGTGCTTGCTAGTCAAATGTACCGAAAGTCACTGGTACTATCCCTATCATTAGCAGGAGTGCTATTAGTGGCACTGTGTTCCATGGGATTGCCCCTTTCTGTCTGGCCCCTGACCTCTGCACCCATCAGTCCTCCTCTGATTGTGCTGGAGACTGGAACCTTGGGTGCTGCTACCTTGTCCTTTAATGTCTTTTGTCATTGATTGGTATGTTCAGTCAGTGACATTAGGCAAAATGTTAGCCAATGAACAGTTTACTGGTCGATCTTCTTACTATCACCAAGCTTGCTTATCTCAGAGGAGCTCCACTGCAGCCTTTGGAACTTAGCACTGGAGCTCAGGAGCAAAAGATATGCTTGCTCAGCAATGAAGTGCAGCATGAGAATGAAGCCACTGCAGCTGGAACATAAGTGGGTTGTAGCTCATAAAGCTTAACTCAGAAATAAACCTACCTTGTGCTAGTATTTTTATTACTTACTCAGATTCTGCAAGTGGATGGCCATCCACTTGTAGCCTTTTGTTCCCAAGCCCACACAATCTCATGTTAGAAAGAAGAGGAAGGAAGGCTGGCAATTAGAGCCCTGGCATTTGCTGCTCCAAAACATTGCCCTCCTGGACTCTTTCTTTTTTAGTAATTGTTTTATATAGGTTTTATGTAATTGAATTCTTATTTATTGTTTTAATGAGTTGTAAGCTGCCCAGAGTACCCCATTAGGGGGAGATGGGCGGGGATAAATTTAATAATAAATAATAAATAAAATAAAAATTAGCAGGCCCACCTGATCAGACAGAGCAGTCCTTAATTTCCTCTGGGCACCAACAAGCTCTGGTCCTAGAAACCAGGGCTGGTGGGAATGTGGGCAAACTGAGGGCCCCTGGGACACAGTAATGATCAGTTGATCATTCCCAATAGGAACGAAGATGCAGCTGCCTTGAACTCAGGGTACCCAGCTCTGCATCTACCCAGGAGTTCCCAATACCCAAGCATGGAGAACCAAATAGCAGCACCCCACAACAAAGCAGTCTGTCAAGAGAGAGTGCAACCTCTGTTTGTCCATCTACATTTTTTTTTTTTTTTACTTCCCTCAACATTTTTCTTAGTCCATCATTTAGGTCATAAGGTTTTGGGTTACTGGGATATTATCAGATAATCACAGCACACACAAACTTTGTTACATTTTTTTTTCACTCCTTATACTCATAGCATCAACAGATACCCCTCTTCAAAGTTAAACAACAACATTAATAATGTTATTATTGACTGGCCATCTCCAGGTTAGCGGCACAATAATTTATTAGATCTTCACCATTAGGCATAACTTCTCAGAGTCAATTTGTCTTACTGTCCATCTTCATTATTCTATGGTCTTTTCCTGGTCCACTCTGAATTGCTTCAGTGAATTTGCTTCACCCTGGAATCTACATAGCTTCAGCATCTAAAGCTGCCTAAATCCATCTTCATTCATTAGTCATCTTCTTCTCCAAACCCCAAAATCTCACTCCATCTGAATTAAGTCTTCCCTTTCTGCCAGCACATCAGTCCCTTTTCAAGTCCCCTCCCTAATGGAAAAGTTTCTATGTAAGTGTAATTGCTTATCTCCTTAGTGCAATACTTTTCCAGTGCCAGTTTCCTGTTTATGCTTATCAAAGGACAAGAACAGTATGCATATCCAGACCATGTGACATGACAGCAGACAATATTCTACTTTCTGCATTCTGTCACAATCTGCTTGCATCACATGCCCGTTATGTGAATTTCTAATTGTTCATTGCCTCAAGGGAGTAGTCAGACTTTATTTAGTAGATAATTGATAAGTCTTTCAATAGCCACAATAGTAACCACCTACAGATTAATCATTCAAACAAGTTTATCTTCTTTCTCTCACACTTCTCACTGGAAAAAAAGGTTCAACTGATTAACTATAGGATGTGAAAGAAAGCAATGCAGTGCATGGAATAACCAGAGCAATCTACATGCTGATTGGAGAAAGCTTTTCACATGAGTAGGTGGGGCTGGAGTTTCAGCAAAGGAAACCACAAATCATGACTTTCAGAACTTTGTGTGTTACAGCTGTTTGGATAGCAGCACAGCCCAGACCCATTTCAAGGTCCATTAAGGGTGTGTTCTGGAGCAAACATGATTTAGGGCAGCATGATTTCATATCAGATCTGGGACAGGGGATGGGGATGGGGGTGGCATTAGGGCAAAGTAACTATGTGGATGTGGCTAGAATGTTATTTATTGCCATGATACATCTCAGAGAACAGTAATGATCCTTAAATCTCTCATATGTATAAAACATAATACAGTGGTACCACGGGTCACGAACGCTTCTGTTCACGACCAATTCGGGTCACGAACAGCACTGTTTGCAAAAATTTTCTTCCATCCGCTAACTCCGCATCGGGTGACCAACAGGATCCGCGGCCATTTTCCCTGCCGTGACACATGGTCGTGGCTTCCTGTAGGGAGGGGGATTCTCCCTCCAAGCAATAACTGCCTCCCTACCCACCTTCCTGAAGTCGCCTCGAGCAAGGTTAGCGTTCTCTCTCTTCGTACTGCACTGTACTGTATTTTGTTTCATATTTTTGTGGTTAAAAAAAAAAAAAAACAATATGGTTCAGAATGGATTAACCGTAATTACATTGAACCTTATGGGAAAATTTGATTTGGGACACGACCAAAATTGGTCGGCGACCAGAGTCGCGGAACGAATTAAGTTCGTGACCCAAGGTACCACTGTACTTTGTATTTTCCATAGCAAAATTAGAATGACTCCCTTTTTAAAAAAGCTACCATTTCCAGATGAAGTGTGCTTCTTTCATGGGGCTACAAGATCCACTGTACTTGTGAGTCAAAGGTAGTTCAGGTGCAACTTCACAAAACTCACCAAAATAGACCTTCTTGGAGCAGCGTGGACAGACATTGGGCTCTCCAGTGAAGGTAGTAATGCTGGAGGCTGAAACAGAAGAATGCATGTGTTACAGATACATACAATTCTAATGACAAGAGTTGCATTAGACAGACATCAGTTCTCTTAGGAAATCATACTCTGAACCTAACATTGATGTCCTGAACCCACCCTGCATTTTACATTGGGTTGTGGAGAAGTAAAAAAGGAGAATTACCTTGGTATTAAGAAGAAACAAAATAGGAATGTCGCAGAGAGTTAAGTGTCCAGATTAATTAGCCAGAAGCTAATCTTCTGAGCAAGATTTCTATCACCTACATATTACACAGAGATCATAGTCCTTGTTCTACTCAGATTCTAAATAACACAAGACTTAAAATATCTTAAGTAGTCTGGCTTAAGAATATACTGTGTTGAACTCTAAAACCAATTACTGTTTTGTATCATGAAAAATTAATTCCTTCACCTTTATAAATTATCCAATTAGTTTATTTTGCATACTCCATTCTGTATTTTTACTTTTTTGCATAACATATTCTGGTTTGCTAGTCATGGACAAAAGTACAATACCTGACTTGCTGTGCTCTGAAACACTGGCTCCAGTCCTACCTACTGAAATTCTTGTAGCAATCCTTCAGGTTCCTGACATTTTAGTGGACATCACCCACACATTTTGAAAAATATATTCCTTAACATACACTTTTGTTTTTAACAGAAAGTTGAGAATCTCAGGTAGTTTAGTTTTGTTCCCAATCCCAGACTGTTTACATTTTGTAGACTGTGGCACATATACAGCTCTGAAATATACTCAACTCTGACTAAGAGCATATCTGTACTTACCATTTAAGCTGTTCCTGCCCTCCTGTTCAAGCTGGCTTGACTCAAAGCCTACTTGAGAAAATGCTGTTCAGATTTAGATGCTTGCAAGGTATTCAGCCTTGACAGCAAGCTACCATGCCCTCCCACTGGACAGCTCCCTGTTGCTGTGCCCTCCCATCTTTCTTTTCTAGGAAAGCAACTGCAGCTCTCTTTCCTTTCTATGGGCAGGTCTCACTGGAAGTATATGCTTTTCTATGTGTGAATATATACTACATATATACAGAGTTAAACTGAATTTTATATAAACAGTTAAAGCATCAAAATGCATCTTACATGCATACAAAAGCAAAAAATCTTTTCTTCCTGTTGATTTTTAAAGGTTTTTAGAGCTGCCTTTCTCATGAATGCTATAATAGTACAACTTTAACACTTGCTCTATAAATAGAAGGTTGTTGGTTCAAAACGCAGATTTTTTTCAATTACTATTTTTCTTTTTCTGAATGTCCAATTCTTCCTCGTGCTTTTTAAAACAAGTCCTGCAATGCATTGTTTCATCATTTTTCCAGTCACTCAAGGTAGAAGGACTTCAAAATAGTAATAAATTATATATTTCTACTGGATTTAGAATCAGCAACCTTCTATTTATCTTCTATTTACAAGGCAAGTGCAAGTACCCTTTTGCTTTTATAGTATTCATCATAATAGTAACACCAAAAGGTACCAAAGGCTGTGGTAAGCATTGACTCAGTTGAAAGGGCATTTCCTCTCTCTGTGAAGCAACCAATTAACTTAAGGGTTATCCTGAAACAAACTGAAGTACTCTATCTGAAATACACAGGAGCACTCAAGGTGATATAAATGGAACAATATACTTTGGAAATGAAGCAAAAAAACACTCTCTGAGGTTTCTTTGATGGTGAGCGTGGGATTCGTAAAGGGTGATGCTGTCTATTTCTGCCCTCCAGAAACAATTGCCCACCTGTTCTGTAAGGCATGACAAGGATCAGCAAAACAAAGATGGAGGATAGCTTTGCAAAAAGAATCTCAAAGTGAAAAGCCATCAGTTTCCCATCCTTCATAAAGAATGCACAGAAAGAAAAAGCAGATGTCTAGAATGTTATCTAACTCTCCAAAGTCCTTCAGCCACCCACATTTGCAAAATCTTGCTATTTTCTTTTTTTATATATGTATAATTTTATTGAACATTTTAAACACAAGAATAAGACTAATACAAATTAAAATAGAGCAAAGGAAAAAAAATGAAAGAAAAAACTAAAAGTGCAAAATGAAAGAGTAGCAGAAAAATAGAAAAGAAAGAAAAAAGATATAAAGAAGTGGCTTCCAATCTTCTTCATAGCATAACATATAAGTACAATTATAAATTGATCTCTCTCACTAAAGTTACATCATGACTCTCTTCTTTCTATAATCTATCCTATCTGATTAACAAAACCATAAATCATAAATTCATTTTTTTCTCTTTTACGCAAAAAAGTCCATAAGGAGTTTCCAGTCACCAATAAATGTAGATATTGTTCAGTGAGTTCTGTCATCTTTACCAACCATTCTTCTGTTGTAGGTATTGCCAAATCTGTCCATCTTTGTGCATACCATAATCTCACTGTGTTATCATATATAAAAACAATGTTCCATGACTTCTTTTCCAACTGCTTATCCATCAGTCCCAAGAAGAAAAGTTCTGGTTTCAGTTGAATGCTAATCTTTAAAATCCTCTGAATCATTGCATGTATTTGAAACCAAAATTTTATAGCTTTTTTGCATGTCCACCAAGCATGATAAAATGACCCTTCTTGTTGTGCACATTTCCAACATAAATTTGAAGTACCTTTATACATTCTAGATAATCTTTCTGGTGTCATATACCAATGGTACATAATTTATAAAAATTGTCTTTAAGATTATAACATAGTGTAAATTTCAGTCCTTTCAACCACATATTTTCCCATTGTTCTATTTACATATTATAACCAGAATTTTTAGCCCACTTTATCATACATTCCTTAACTTGTTCTTCTTCTGTTTCAAATTTCAATAAAAGTTTATACATTTTAGCAATCACATGTTCATCATTTGTACACAATTCTGTTTCAAAATCAGTCTTAAAATGTTCGATACCATAAATTATTCTATCTACTTTAAATCTTTCTGATAACTGTAAATAAGAAAACCATTGACAACTATGTCCCTCTGCCATCAGTTGTTCTCTTGATTACAAGAATTTGCTATTTTCTTCAGAATGATAAAAGCAGCATCACAGTGTTGCATTACAAGTACTGCCCCTTCTGAGTGTGCATGCAACATTGTGGCACACATAGAAAGAGGTCAAGGCTTGTGTTGCAATGCCGTGACACTGATTTTGTCAGTCTGAGCCCCAGGCATTTTCAGGCTTCTGCTTCACTGCTTACCTTTGCTAGGTCCTTTTGGTGCAACATTCACTTTCTTTTCTTCCATTTTGGATATGTGCTCAATAGGGCCTGGTGCAAGTTGTCCTTCAGGAGGCTTATCATAAATATAGGATCCTGCTCCTCCAATGTTTACACCTGAGAATTGAACAGGAAAGATCAGAGAACCCTGATACCAGAAGCCCTTGTGTGCTGACTTATTCTCAGCCATATTCACATATTTTGATGGAATCAAGTTGGGTCATGAGCAACGTTGATCAGTCTTCTTTCTGTCAAGGGTTCATTATATCATTTCCTTAGTTGCACAGATTAGAGAAATCTCTCTTCCCTTCCCCCTAACCTTCTTATATCTCAGTGCTAATTTTTTCTCTGCTTGCTAATTTTTGCACTCAGCAACAAAATTTTGTCTATCAATCACAGCATTACACAATTGATGTGAGAGTATAGATGGGGTGGGGAGACAGAAATGTCCTTATCAGCAATTATACTTTAATCTTCCAACAAGAAGATTTTAAAAGTTTAAAAACCTCAGTAAAGGCCCCCTCTGTTCTCTTACCTCATAAAAGTAAGCAGTGTATTTTTAAAAAATGTAGATGCCATTGCTCTCCATTAATATGTAGGAATCATCACCACAAAGCTCAGTATCTATCTTTAAATAAGTAGCTTTGTAAAAGACAAAATCCTTTACTTTTCATTTAATTCATATATGTACTGTATCAGAGGTGCAGCAGAAGATAAACTGCTCCATCCTTGCACACTGGGAATATTTCATGTACACTTGTGAGAAAACACACAAATTTGGAACATTATGGAAAGGAGAAGATTGAGGCAGTTGCATCAGAAAGAGTGGCAGAAGGAAAAAATGTAAATACCACCCCCCCGCCCGCTTATGCCTCTATTCTGTATTATGCCTTCTCAACAATACTTTTCTTGCATGTTTTTGCTTGTACTGTTTTGTTCATTAAACTCTAAATCATATCTGACATAGAGTATATCATAAACAGGCAAAGTTTGCCACAACAGAGAGGCCTATATGTTTCCATCCACACAGAACTAGATGTGTGGTTGAAGGAGAACTAAGTTCAGAACAAGAGAATGAGAGGGAGGGAGGAAGAGTGACTGCAATCTAGCAACACTGAGCTAAATTGCCAACTAACCAGAAGGGGGCACATACCTTTTGGTCCAAACAATGTTGCATAGCAGGGTTTGTGACAGTACGGCTTCGTGTCATGCTAAAATGGAACAATTTTAGAATTAGGCTACAAAGATACAGGAAATTATAATCTGCTTCAAACAACTGCCTCTCAGATTTCATTCACCACTAGATCAAAACCTGAGGACTCTAAGTATTACATGGGCGCCTCAGCCTTTAAGGAATGTGGGCACTCTAAAAAAGTTTAGCCATTTTAGTTACTTGCTTTGAAAATGTTATCTCAGAGTAGTGTATCTCTTGTAAAATTTAAAAATAACAAACCTGTGTAGAAAAACAAAACAGAAAATAAGTAGCAACCCATACAGCCACATACATATCCTTAAAATGCAGAGTCTCTTTTGAGTTAAGCTTGGCTCCTGGTGACTTAATGGGCATGTCTGTGTATTTTTCTTGCCAACCTTTTTTTTTTTTAAATTTCATATAACATATGCCCTAGGTGGTCTCCCATCCAAATAGTATCCTAGCTGAATTTTTAAATATCAGCCCAGCTTTGGTGCTCTTACCTAGCTAGGCCACACTTGTTCCAGCATACAGGTAAGACCTAAAAGTTGTTGAGATGGCAAAAAACTAATAATATGGGAACTACTCTTAGTTTTACTGGGATTGGGAGTTCCAAAATCCTATAGACTCTAACCATAAAAAGTATTTTCCTGGTTTCTGCTAGAGCTGCTAGTGAAGAGGCATTTTTTAAAAAAATTCCATTCTCTGGTTCAGATCAAAACTGAATTGGAAAAGAATGTATAGCTTCCTTTTTCCTATTCCTTGCAGCACTTTCAATTTACAAAAATATTCTGTGGTAACCCACAAATACAAATTGGTAACTAGTTGTCTGTTCTTAATTTGTCTGAAACTTCAAAACACAGCTCATTCAGCAAATTTGAATATATATTACTATATAATTAGAATGCTCATCTCAAATTAAGTATAGAATTATCTTAAATACCCTTCAAAATAAAGTCTAATCAAAATAACCAATTTTTTAAAAACATGATAGCTTTGCAAGTAAATTACATTCACACATAGGATCATACAATATTGGGATTGAAAAGGACCTTGGAGATAATCCAATCTCTGCCCAATGAAGGAATTCACTACTACAGCATCCCTAATGGATGGCCATCCAGGCTCTGTTTAAATATTTCCAGCAAAGGAGAGTCCACTATTTCCTGGGCAGTCTGTTACACTGTTGAATAGCTTTTAATGTTATGAAAGTCTTCCCAGTGTCTAATATACCCAAATGGAGGTCTTTGCTGAAATTAAGCTTGCATCTTCCATCTTAATAAAATCCTCTTAAATCTCAACATTGTTGTCTTAAGTGTTTGTTATTCTCCCCCCCCATCTTTATGTCATCCACACATTTGTTTATTCTACTTTTAAATGCCTCATCCAAGTAATTTATAAGTATGTTTCACAGTACAGGGCTCAGAATAGAACCCTGTAGTATGCTACTCAACACTTCCTTGCAGCTGATGTACAATTTCTCAACCAGCTCTGCATCCATCTAATGCTACCACAGTCCAGCTTATATCAAACCATCTTCTCTACTAGATTCTCACCAAAGCCCATTTCAAGGTACACTATGCTCATTATATATCCCTAGTCAGTTGTATTGGTTACTCTGTCAAAGAAGGAAGTCAGGTTGGTTTTTATGATTTAATTTTGATAAATGTATGTTGGCTGCTGACAAGCAACATGTTCTTTTCTAAATGCTCATAAACTGATTGTTCAAAACGTGTATCAGAGTTTTGTCCACTATCGACATCTAGCTGACTAGTATGTAGTTGACCCAGATCCTGTTTATTCTCTAAAGACAGGGATAACATTCACAATGAGTATACTAACTACCCTCAGCACACTCTACTAGAAGCTGCAAGGTTTTTCTCTTCTTTGGTCTCTCTCCCCACCACCCTATGCACAGATCTAGAAGGTGAATTGCACCTCTCTCTGGATCCTCCTTCCTATCACCAGTGGTATGTACAGTGGGGCAAACAAGTATTTAGTCAGCCACCAATTGTGCAAGTTCTCCCACTTAAA